TCTCTCTTGGTAGTTTGTTTGTTGCCATCCGCTACCTTGCTTCCAATTCGAATTTTCACCTCCCCATCCACTTCCTCGTGGGATTTGTTGAAATCCCACGGCTTCTATCTCTTCAATGCTAATGAAGGATTTACATTTATTTGTGTCATGAGGTCCGCCACATACATTGTAATAAAGAGCTAATGCTATACACGGTTGAGACTTAGCTTCAAGCTTCTCTATCTTGGATTGAAGTCTCTTGATTCCATGTGTCATTGCCTCTACCTTGGCAACGTGGCTACATTATCTTTCACCTCGTACATCCCGGCCTTGGAATCTCTCTTATTATACCAAAAGGAAGTGTTGGATGATATCCTCTTGTTAATGTTTTAAAAATTAGTGTCTAAAACCCCAACTTGTAATTGACTTTATCATTATGGCAAATTAGAATAGGCTAAGTCAGAGTCAGACTGTGTTTGAAGAATGAAGACCTGATTGATCGGGGAAGCGTCTCTAAAGAGTTGAAGCGGTTGGAAGACAATTTAGAGGAGCGTATGTGCTGGCAGATGCGGTTATGGCTTGAGGTGGAATTACAAGAAAGTCCTTACTGATTTGGACACCTTAAAGGGTATGGACGTGATCTGGTTTAGATGCTGCCTAATGTTCTGATTACGTGTCCCTCACCCTCACCCTCAACCAGATATATATATATATATATATATATATATATATATATATATATATATATATATATATATATATATATATTTATTTATATATATACACACATACATATATATATAGAGTTGCTGATTCAAAGAAGGCTAATCAACTCATTAAACATTCTCTTGAATCCAAGAAAGCACTCTATATTCTAAATCTCTTTCTCTGATTACAACCTCTTCTCAAGACCTAAAGTTCATGATGATTTAAGAAGATGAACTTGAGAAGAATCAACTGTGCTTAAAGTTCACGAAGGTCACTCAGCTGTGGGAGACAGTGAAGGACTGCGTCAGTGAAACGGACTGCATCAGAGATAGATCTCCATTGAAGGGATTCCAGGGACCTCTGAATGCGTGGATATCCGTCTTCAACAATCCACTAAATCCTTGTAGATTGGGTACTTACCTTGTGTAGATCACTCAGGTGAGATTGTTCTTCTCTACCTTTGTACTTTGGAGTTGAGTTAGTGGATTGGACGCATCAGTGATCGTCCCCCAGATGTAGATACACATTGTATCGAACTGGGTAATCAAATCTTGTGTTGTTTTGCTTTCTGTGTTTACCTTTTCCGCACTTTATCTTATCTGTTGGTTTATCTGTTTGAATATCTGTTATACTGTCTGTGTTAAGACTGCACACCAACTGTTTGATAAAAGTAGGTTGATGGAATAATCACGGAGCCGGATCGGAGCAGGACAACACGGACCGGGTCGGACCCCGCGCCCACCCGCGATGCATGGCAAACCGCCCCGGGGTCGGCCCAACGGGGGTCGGCGTTGGCCGACCTCCCCGAGCTCGGCCCCTTGGGCGAGCTTCGTGCTCGGCCAAGGGCTGGGTCCTCGCGTGGAGCGAGTCCCGCGGTTGGCCCAGAGCCCGTAGCGGCCGGGGGGGTATATAAACACCCCCCGGTGTCCTAATCAATCATCTTCTACTTTCTTACAATACTTGTAACGTTATTACACGTCCCGAACCTCTGTAATAGCATTTTATGCTCAATTAATATAATATTTACCGTTCTATTATTTATTTCTCATATTCAAACATATATACGGGTTGTATAATTCGGACCCCCGGGTTCATATAATCCATCATTCGTGCTCTTGTTGAGAGCGGCTGTACAAGCTTAAGCGCTCTCCCTACTATCCTTCATCCGCAGCGATGACAAGATCCGGGTCGAACACCCACAACTCGTAGGGTTCGCGCAACACACGCGACCTCTCCCTCGCCAACCACCCCAACAGGACCACGACAAGTTGGCAGACCGTGCATGTGGGGGCCGGAGGGGACCTCCGAGATCAGATCAACGGGAGCCTGCTGGGGGCCGTGGAGGACCTCCAGGGTCGTCTCACCAACAATCGCCCTCTCGGTGGGACGACGCCACCCGTGCCACCGCAGGTCTCGACCTCCCAGGAGGATGCCGCCGTACTCGAGCAGGGGGCGAACGCACTCAACCGCGTTGCGGCGGGGCTGCGCCGGGGTGCCCCAGCACCTCTACCTCCACCCCCTCCGAGGGTGCGTGTAACACCCCGTGTTACGGCCCCTAAAACCATTTAATTAATCAATCAATAAGCCCAAGAGAAGGAATAAATCATAATGATTAATTAGGGAAAAAGGCCCACCATAGTCCATGGGCCCTCATATATAAACCCAACCCCTAAACCCAATCCTTAGTTCCGAAAGGAATAGAATTAGCAAGCCTATAATATTAGTTCCTAATTAGGACTCCTAAATATATAAATAAGGGACTTAGGAGACACCTAGAACTTCCCACACGCCTAAACGCCCCACCTCCCCAGGAGAGCTCCAAGAATTCCCCTAGAAGAAAGCAAGAAAGCAAGAAAGCTTAAAGAAAGACCCTTCATAGCCAAGGAACTAATTAAGGCTAAGAGGTAACCCATGTCTCAACAAAACCTATTTTCATAGCTATGATTTCCCCCTTAGGGTTTCCCCATATTATTGTGTATTAATGACTTGTGATAATTATTGTTGATGATTGATGTGATGATCCCATGGGGGATTTTGATAATCTTGATATTGAGAGATTCTTGATAATTATGATATTCTTGATGATTATATGGAGTTCCTAATGATTATGTGTTGTTCTTGATAATTGGGTGATGATCTTGATGATTATGTGTTATTCTTACCGAATCTTGCAATTAGAAGACGGACCGTATTCTTGTTGATATAAAAGTGATTAGAACCCTAAGTTGTATCGTATGATCTTATTCTTGGATTATCGGGTGGGGAAATCGCATGTTTGGGTGTTGATTATACTTAGAAAAGCATGGTAGGTTATGTGCCGTTCGTTCCTCGTATTTGATTCGTTAATTGTCTACGGGTTGTCGTTAATTGTGTTGTAAAGTGTCTAAGCATGGTTTCGGGTTCCATAACGGTTCCCGGGGCGTAAAGTGTGTGAAAAGAGTCAGTGGGGGGTAGGTGGGGGGTAGGGGACCCGCCACCTACCCATAGCCGTAAACCACCGCCTGGCAACGGGTGGCCGGCAGGCGGGCAGCTGGCGACCCGCTGCCCGAAACAGTAGAACCCGGCGGGCAGCCGGCGGGTGGCCCACCACCCACCGGCTACCCGTTGGAAAGTCGTCCCACCCAGGACCCCGGCTTCCCCGTCTGACGTCCCCCGTTCCCCGTGGTGTCCCAACAGACCCCGTTTATCGTGCCTATGTCTAGTTTGATGTTTCGGGTACCGTTCGTAGGTTTATGAGTCTATTATATTGCATGCTGGTTGAATTGGTACCCCGTTGACCTAGGTGGAAGAAGTATGAACCCCTAAGGACTATTCTTAGTATGTGATGGATCACGCATAGGTTTTGTTATGCGCTTTCTCCCCCTTCCTAATGTGTAATGTGGGTTGCATGTGTTTGCTACGTGTTATGTGTGTGCTACCCCAATTCGGTTGCGATCGGATTGGTTATCCTGAGCTGCGGTTCAGAAGCTGGCTGCGGTCAGATTGATACTCTTGGGCTGCGGTCCACCGTTTGGTTGCGATCAAACGTTCCTATACGAGCTGCGGTTCGTCCTTTTTCCTGGCTGCGGTCAGATGACATTCTCTTGGGCTGCGGTCCACCGTTTGGTTGCGATCAAACGTTTCTATACGAGCTGCGGTTCGTCCTTTTTCCTGGCTGCGGTCAGATGACATTCTCTTGGGCTGCGGTCCACCGTTTGGTTGCAATCAAACACTATGATGAGCTGCGGTTCATCGGTCGGTTGCGATCGACCCCTCCGTGTTGCGATACGGGGCAGGGTGCTGCGGGGCCGTGTCAGAGCTATATGCGCTGACCCTCATGTATGGGCATGCGATTGGTCCTGTGGCAACAACAAAGTGTGTTATGTGTTGTGATATGGATGAGTTGTGATTATGAGTGTCTTGGGGGATGTGACTATGGGATTTATATTGGGGATTGTTCATGTTGGGTTATGATTATCGTTTATGCTTGCCTTGTCCGCCTTATCTTTTGTGAACTGCATATGCTCGTTATAACTGTTGCTTGTGTCTAGCCTTATCTGTCGAGTCATTCCCGGTTTTAAAGCTAGAGTTCGTAGGATATATCTTCATGCTCATAATGGTTTTCGTATATCTATATATATCTCTATATGTATTGTATTTCAACGCGTTGGAGTGGGTTACCAGCATCTCTCGCTGAACAGATATATTTGGCTTTCAGGCACAGAGGACTAGAGCACTGGAGCGCGCTAGAACTGGAGCGTAGAAGTAGAGTAGTTTCCCTTTCGGCCTGCGTGCCATGTTATGCATTGTGTTTCAATGGATATTAGTTAGACAGCCTGTGCACCTGGGTTCTCTAGCCCAGGTGTGGCATAGCACCCCGTACACTTATGATATACTTTGGGATGTAATGAGATATTACCTTTATTATATAAGCTTAAAATGTCTTGAAAATCTGGGGTGTTATAGTGCGCAGCGGCCCCAACACTCACGCGTCCCGGGCGCCCGCAACGCTGGCCGAGGGAGAAGTAAACTCACCACGACCCTTCAAAAGACGCGACAGGGCGGAGGCCAGCCGAGGCCGGCACGAGCAGCGAGAGGAAAGGCGGACTCGGCCGACCCGGACCACATCCGCGCTCGGGCGGTTAGGCCCGCGTGCGCCGGCGCGAGACTGCCTAGGGCCGAGGCCGGCCGCTCATGCCAGACAGGAGGAGTCGTCATGCTCACGGAGGTCCCGGAGCCACGAACCTCGTGTTCCGGGGCCACGGGAGCCGACCCCACCAATGGAGCGCTCGGGGGAAACTCGAGGCCAACCTCTGTGCACTCAGCGCGACGAGATGGAACAATTGCGCCGACAGATGCGTGAGTTGCAGCGCAAGATGGAGGCACGCGACGAGTCACCGGAGCCTCGGGACGCCCTGGCCACGCCTTTCACGAGGAACATCATAGCCGAGCCCCTGCCTCGGGATTTCCGATTCCCGTCCATCAAACCCTACACGGGGGCGACGGACCCGCGAGACCATCTCAACAGGTACAAGGCAGTCATGATGATGACAGGCGTCAATGACGCAATCATGTGACGCGGCTTCTGCACGACTCTGGATGGGCAGACCCAAGATTGGTTCGGGTCTTTGCTGGGGGACTCCATCCCCACTTTTGCTGTCCTGGCCAAGAAGTTCATGTCACACTTCGTGGGCAGCATACAACGGAGGAAGCAGTTCGCCGACTTGTGTTACCTGAAGCAACACAAGTCAGAGTCCTTGGCGGAGTACCTGAGTAAATGGAAGAAGGAGGCCATGGGGGTGACGAATTTTGACGAAAGATCCGCTATCCCGTTTTTTACCAACAACCTCAGGTCGGGTCCTTTCCACAGCGACCTTGTCCGGAATGAGCCAAATACGTACACAGAATTGATGGACCGCGCCGCGCGGTATGCCAATGTCGAGGCAGCAGAGAAGAGGAAGAAGGAGGAGGAGGAAGGCCGAAGTCGGGGCGACAAGGCAACTCAACCTCAAGAGGACCGCTGCCCACCCCGGTCACGCCGTGATCGGGGTCCCCGACTAGCCCCGCTACGACACCTGACCCCGCTGACACAACCTGTGAGCCTCACTCTGGACCACGCGGAGGAAATGAGCATCGTGTCGTTCCCCGAGGAGTGCTTAAAGATCTCCCCCAAGTCCGACCCGAAGAAGTACTGCCGCTTCCATCGGCAGCGTGGGCATGACAACGACGAATGTATGGTCCTCAAGAGGCAGATCGAGGAGCTCATCCAACGGGGATACCTGGGGCAGTATGTGAAGAGATCCGGGCAGGACCACGCTAAAGGCCCCGACAACACTCGGAAGAAGAAGGATGGCGTTGGGCCATCCGCCTCTGCCCAGCGCAAGAGGGAGCTCGGCCAACTCACGGAGGACGAGGAGACCGAGCCAGACAACCCACCAAAGAAGAAAGTCATCCACGTCATCTTTGGCGGCCCAGAGGGAGGAAACACGCCCGCCGAGAGGAAGAGGTGGGCGCGGAGCCTGTACGTAGGGGAGGTCGTCGGAGCACCCCATGAGAAGAGGACACGCAGGGAGCTTATAACTTTCACCGACGATGACCTCCCGGATGGCCCCTTACCCCACCGAGACGCATTGGTAATCAGGTTGGAACTTAAAGACATCATTGTCCACCGGGTACTAGTGGATACGGGGAGCTCCGTGAACGTCATGTATTATGACACCTTCACGCAACTCGGACTATCCAGGAAGCAGCTCTCCCAAGTACGAACCCCGCTATCCGGCTTCACCGGAGACTCCATTGAGACAGAGGGCTCCATCACCCTCGAGGTGCAGATCAGCACCCCACCGCACATCAAGACGTGGGAGGTAGAGTTCGTGGTGGTAAAGATCAGTTGCGCCCACAACATCATCCTCGGCAGACCTGTCTTGGAGGACGCCAGGTGCGTCATCTCCATGGAGCACCTTTGCCTCAAGTTCCCTACCCCCACTGGAGTGGGCGTTGCGCGAGGAGACCAGAAGATTAGTCAGAGCTGTTACTTGAAGGCCTGCCGCCAAATAACGAAGAAGGACCTCCAGGTACACACAGTAATCGAGAGGGCACTTCGAGAGGAGGAGAAGCGACCCCGCGCCGAACCCGTGGTGGACACGGAAGAGGTCATCCTAGACCTCAGCCGACCTGACAGAATGGTGAAGGTGGGCACAGTCCTCCCGGCCGACCTCCGAGGTCGGATTGTCGAGGTCATCTGCAGCTACAAAGACGTGTTCGCCTGGGGTCCCGAAGACATGTCGGGCCTCAGCCGGGAGGTCATCACAGACAAACTGGCGGTAGACCCCAAAGCCAAGCCTGTCCAACAGCGGAAGCGCTACCTCGCCGCAAATAGACGAGAATTTGTGAAGAAGGAAGTCGACACCCTCCTCGAAATCGGGCACATCAGGGAGGTCATATACCCGACATGGCTTGAGAACATTGTACTCGCACCTAAACCACCCACGTGGAGGATGTGTGTGGACTACACGGACCTCAACAAGGCATGCCCCATGGACCCCTTTCCGTTGCCCAACATAGACTACCTGGTGGACGAAACGGCGGGATGCGCACTCATGAGCTTCCTAGACGCCTTCCGGGGGTACCACCAAATTTTCATGCACGAGGATGACGAAGAAAAGACGGCGTTCACCACACCCTAGGGGCTTTTGCTATCGGGTCATGGTTGTCTCGGGCTCAAGAACTCGGGAGCCACGTACACAAGAATGGTGGCCAAGGTGTTCAAGAAGGTCCTCGTCCGGAACATGCAAGCCTACGTCGACGACATGATTGTGAAAAGCACGGAGGCCGACCTCCACATAGCCAACTTGACCGAGGTATTTTCTATTATGAGGCAATTTGATTTACGTTTGAACCCCAAAAAGTGCACTTTTGGGGTACACGGAGGGAAGTTCTTGGGGTACATGGTCTCAAAGAGGGGTATTGAACCCAACCCCGAGAAAGTCAAGGCCATCCTGGAGATGGAACCCCCGAGGTCCCTCCGCGAGGTCCAGTGCCTCAATGGTCGGCTGGCGGCCCTCGGCCGATTCCTCTCAAGGTCGGCCGAGAGGTCCTTGCCATTCTTCGGGGTCCTCAAGAAGAACCAGGGGTTCGAGTGGTAAGACGAATGCGAGAGAGCCTTCGAGGATCTCAAGACGTACCTCATGACGCTACTCCCCTGGCCAAATTGGAGAAAGGGGAAGTTTTGTATCTATAATTGGGCATCTCGCAAGCTACAATCAGCTCCGTACTGGTTCGGGATGACGCAGGGACCTAACGCCCGGTGTACTACGTGAGCAGAGCCCTCCGAGACACCGAGCTCAGGTACTCACCGACGGAAAAAACAATCTTCGCCGTGGACGCCACGACCAAGAAGCTCGGGCATTACTTCTAAGCACACCCCGTGCGGGTCCTCACCAACCAACCCCTCGAGGCGGTATTAAGGGCCTCGGGGTTGGCAAGCAGGTTGGTCAAGTGGTCCATGCGATTGAGCCAATACCACGTCTAGTTTAAGCCCCGACCCGCGATCAAGGGGCAGGCACTCGCCGACTTCATAGTCGAGTGCATCGCTCGCGATGCCGCCGAACTAGCCCGGAGCGATGAGGAAGATTGGTGGACCCTGTCCACGGATGTCTCGTCCGGCCCCAAGGGGTGTGGCAGAGGGGTGGTCCTCGTAACCCTAGAAGGGTTCCGGGCCTACTACGCCCTTCGTTTCCACTTCAAGCTGTCCAACAATGAGGCCGAGTACGAGGCACAGCTGGGCGGCCTCAGGCTCGCGTTGGGTCTGAGGGCCTCCAGAATAAGGGTGCGGTGCGACTCCCGACTGATGGTCGGATAGGTGAATGGCGAATTCGAAGCCAACAAAGAAAGGATGAGGAGATACCGCGACGTGGTACTCCAGGTCCTAGGTCAATTGACCCTCTACGAAATTTTGCAGGTACCCCGAAGTCAAAACGGGGACGCGGACTTACTCTCTAAGCTCGGCCTTGGCACCCCGGAGCATGTCTCCAAGATAGCACGGATCGAAGACCTCTAGAGGTCCAGCTTGGAGGCCTACCCAGTCCTCCCCATACAGACATGCCCCCCATGCTGGTTAGAGAACCTGGTCGAGTACAAGAGAACGGGTACCCTGCCAACAGATGAGGCAGCCGCCAAGGTGATCAAGAGGAGGTCACCAACATATGTCCTCCTTGGCGACACCCTTTACAAAAGGTCCAATAACGGCGCCCTCCTCCGGTGCTTATACCCGGACGATGCCAAGGCCGTCAAAGAAAAGATACATGAGGGCACATGCGCAGCACACCAAGGAGCCTTTGCCATGGCGAGGATGGCCCTATTGCAAGGGTACTTTTGGCCAAATATGGCCAAGGAGTGCGCGAAGTACGCCCGGGGGTGCCCGACCTGCCAGCACGTCCACGAAGATCCGGGTCGGCCAGCAACCAGCTACACGCCCATCAGCACGGTGATCCCGTTCTCACGGTGGGGGATCGACATCGTCGGGGCCCTATCCATGGGGTCCGCAAAGAGGAAGTACATAATAGTCGCCATAGACTATTTTACAAAGTGGGTCGAGACGGAGCCCCTCGCCACCATCATAAGCACCCAGTGCACGGAGTTCATACGAAGGAACAATTTGTACCGCTTTGGGGTCCCCATGCAAATCATCTGCAACAACGGGCGTCAGTTTGAGAGCAAAGAATTTAAGGCATTCTGCGACCAATGGTACATAAAACACACCCGCGTGGCGGTGGCGTACCCACAGGCAAACGGACAGGTGGAGAACGCCAACAGAACTATAGTCGACGGCAACAAAAAGAACCTGGACGCAGTCGGAGGAAAATGGGTGGAGGAGCTAGACACAGTCCTATGGGCATACCGCACCACCCCAAGAAGAGCCACCGGGGAGACACCGTTTGCGCTGGCGTACGGGTTCGAAGCACGGGCCCCCACCGAAGCCGCGATACCATCCTATCGAGTCGCAATATACGACCCCGACCTCAATGAGGAACACTACGCTGCCGACCTCCACCTCATCGACGATAAAAGGGAGGACGCCATGGTCCGTGCGGAGAATTACCAGCGTCAAACAAAGGCATACCACGACAACAGAGTCCAACCCCGCTACTTCCAGGTCGGCGATTACGTCCTCCGGAGGAAGGAGGCAAGCCGACCCCAGGACGGAGGCAAATTTGCTAAGAAATGGGAAGGACCGTATGTGATTGAAGCCATAGTACGACCAGACAGTTACATGTTAAGAACCACATCGGGCAAGATGGTGGACAGAGTGTGGAACTCAGAGCACTTGCTGAAGTTTTACCAGTAGAAACTCATTTGTACGGCCTACCCCCTCCCCAATAACAGGCTGGACTCCCCACAATAATGTTTGTTTACATTCGCAATGGAATAATGATTTTGTTGAACAATTATCCTACTTCGGCTTGGGGACGAGCATGGGCACATACAGATTCGGGTACTCGGGCACCCCAAGGCCGGCCGACACGGGGTCGGCCAACCTCGAGATCGGCCGGCGCAGAGTGGGTCGACATGAAGTCGGCCCACCTAAGGACAGCCACGCCGGAGAGGCCGGACATGGCGGCTGTGTACGCGGTGACCCCGGCGGCCACATTGAACATAACGCATGCCCTAGGGGCGGTACGAGGTCAGACCTCGCCTATCACCGAACGGAAGGATTCGGGACGCGAGTCAAGAGACTCCATCCTAAGAATCGCTAAGACGTCCTAGGGGCGGTATGAGGTCTGGCCTCACCTATCGCTGGACAGACGTAACGCCATCTCAACACACTAGGGGTGGTACGAGGTCCGGCCTCGCCTACTGCCGAACGGAAGGATTCGGGACGCGAGTCAAGGGACTTCATCCCAAGAATCGCTAAGACGTCTTAGGGCGGTATGAGGTCCGGCCTCACCTATCGCCGGACGAGCGTAACACAACCTTAACACCCTAAGGGTGGTACAAGGTCCGACCTCGCCTACCACCGAACGGAAGGATTCGGGATGCGAATCAAGAGACTCCATCCCAAGAATCGCTAAGACGTCCTAGGGGCGGTATGAGGTTTGGCCTCACCTATCGCCGGACGGGCGTAACGCAATCTTAACACCCTAGGGGCGATACAAGATCCGACCTCACTCATCGCTGGACGGGTAACACAACAATGAGGGGTAACCAGCCGACCTCGTGAGACCACGAGGGGTCGGCCGGCCGACCCCGTGAGGCCGGCTAGCCTCGCGTTGGAGGGCTGGCTAGTCCCGCGTTGGTGGGCCAGCTAAGTTTCGCGTAGGCAGGCCGACTGGTCCCGCGTTGGTGGGCCTTGATGCCCGCGGGGATACCTTTGGGCACAAGGTAAGTCACGCCGAGGAACAATCAAGACAAACACGCAAGTAAAGCGGACAGAAGTATAAGACGAAATAAACGAGCAATGTCATAACAAACAATGTCATGGTGAAGCCAACAGTCTAATGAAAACAAAAAGGAACGTCTTAGCGGCAACCCGCGCAACAAGATAACACCGATCTAAGTAAATAAAGGAGATAGTCTGTGCAAACAACTAAATAAAGATAAGGGGCCGCTAACTCTAAAGGACATCAAGGTTGCGTAGTCTTGCGGGCACCATCATCGCCACCCAAGTCAGCCTGAGTCTCCTCCGGGGGGGGGGGGGGGGGAGGGGGCGTCCACGCCTATAAAACGAAAGAGGTTAGCCGCGAAGTCCGCACTCAACGAGCGGTCAGTCGCCGAGTCCAGCGAAAGGGGGGGGGGGGGGGCCCTCTCCCCTCCGCCATATCCATGGGGTCACCTGGCTCCTCCTCCAACTCCTCGGGTAGGACCTACGCCACGGGGTCAAAGGATGCTTCTCTCGCGCGCAGGATGGAATAGATCTTGCTCTGCATGGAACACTCCCCCGCCTCGTACATCGCCAACCCCTGAAAAGTCACACACTCACTCCCCTCGGGGAAACTCATAAGATCATCCAGGGTCTCCTGCGGGTGCTCGGAAAGGTAGGCCTTCGCGTCCCTGGCAAAGGCCTCGGAGTCCTTGTAGCTCGAGACAGCCATCCTCGCAGCCTCCTGGTGCGCCTTCATGGCCACCTGATGCGCCGCACGCTCCCGCGACCGGCTAGCAATCAACTCAGCATGCTGACCCTCCAGCACCACAAGCTTGTCGCTCACGGCATGGCGAGCCTGCGTCTCGGCCTCCAACTGACCGCGGGTACTCCCTAGGACCTCCTCCATGGCCACGGCACGGGCAACCGTCTACACAAGGGCAAACATAAGCAGAAGACAAGATGGCAAGGAACAAGGAAACACAACATGTAATCATAAGAAAGTAGTACGTACCTCTGGCAAAGGGCGGAAGATGGCGTGATCCTAGTGCATCGCCGCGTGGCGGGGCAGGCGGAGGCTACGCAGAAAGGCCTCCGGAGGGGCATCCCCACAAATTATCGAGGCCGTAGGGGGAGATGGACGGACCACTCAGTCAAGGCACCCTGAGGCGGTGCCGTGGTCATCGGAGCTCGAGTAGGGGGTCGGTCGGCCGACCATCCGACAGGCGGTCCACATCGGTAGCGGACCTCGTCTCACGGCGGCGCGACACCCGGATACCTGGGGGGGGGGGCACGGACGCCCGAGGAAGCATGGCTAGTCTCGCCAGT